AAGGAGATGGGTTTGTTAATTGTCCTGATTTGATCATTTACATGTTGTAACATGTGCTTGACTGTCATAGCACACACATAAACGTACGCATCAATTTGAAGTAAAATAAACGGTCGGGAGGCAAGGGAGAAGCAGAGAGTAAAGACAGTACCACAGATGCTTTGGGGCAGGTTGAGAGAAGATGTGGATACAATGTCTGCAGACTGAGCTGAAAAGTCCATCCTTCCACTGTCCCTCCTCAGCATCTCTGCCGCCTACCTGTACTTCCTTCCTTTCCTCTTCTCCAGTTCTTTCCCTTTCCTTGTTCTCTTTCGTTTTTGTTGTGTTGTTTGAAAAGGGGTGTCATTATGATGCAGGTTAGGCTGGCCTGGAACTCACTATGTAGCCCAGGCTGGCCTCGAACTAGTGACAAACAGTCGTCCTGCCTCAGCCTCCTAAGTTGGGATGACAGGCATGGCCATCTTTCCAGGTCCTTCTTAGCTACCTGTCTTACGTTCTAGTGTATTTCTCTAAAGCAACGTCTAAAACTTCCCAAAACCTAGGCATATGGCCAACATTTTATTGGAAAGTGCCAGGTGGTAAGCATGCTAGACCTTTTGCTAGCCACATTTCTGCTGTAATCAGTCAGCTTGGCCATGCCATGGCTGTAGAAAGTAACCACCGGCCGTGCTTAAACGGATGAGTACAGTTGTGTTCCAGTGAAGATAGGCAGACTCAGGGATAGGGCTGTGAACCGTGCCCTGCTGACCCTTTCCCTAGCGTAGGGAAAGGGGTTGAAGACAGCATCACTAGGGCAATCACTATTGCTGAAGCAAGGATAGCATCAAGAGAAAGGAATGCACCTCAGAACAAAGGTTCTCCTGTCTATTTGAACATGTTCCTTTTGATGTGCCGCTATGGACTTCTCTGCTCTGCACATCTATGAACCAGCAGCATTTTTGAGGCCATGATTCCAAAGCCTTCCACACAGTCAGTTGCCAGGAACAAAAGCACAGGAGAGAAACAAGACAGTGAAGATGAAAAGGCACCTTGTTGAGGGAGGAGGGGAAACTGAAGAGGCTCTCACTGACACTCCTCCTTCAGTGAGTCCAAAGCCATGGTAACCTCCACTGACATTTAAGCAGTGAGGGTGACTCTCATCCCAACATTTCTGATCCAGTCCTTCCAGAAAGCAAAGGACTGGTACACATCGTATTATTGTCTCACATTTAGAAGTTTGGTTTTGATTTTTTGTTGCTGTTTTGAGATGCCCAAATCCTTATGGGGTGGTGGGAAGAGAGAACACGCAGCCAGGTGTATTCTGAAACTCCTATGGGAGAGAAAGCTGTGGAGATAGGGTAGGGTGGCTAGGACCAAACAGCGCCCTGGGTACACTGTTGTTGTTGTTTATACTCCCACAACAAGTAGGGCTGGTCTGGTTTCTGAGACGGGATGGGTCAAGCAGGGATTTGGAAGGTTGGAGATGGAAAAGGAAAGCCTTCATGCACGTTATACCTGGGCACTGGGAAACGCAGAGCAAAGGAATCAGTCCTCCAATGCGGAACGAGAGTCTCCTCTGTCTGCAGGGAGAAGTCTTGTTGAACAGAGAACTTTCAGACCAAGATAAATGAAGCAGAGAGCTAAGGACAGCAGTGGTGCCAAGCCAGCTAGATGAATAGATGGGCTGTGTCGCTTGGTAAGGAAAAGGCTAAGAGGAAAACGATGTCTTTGGAACTGAGCAGTGGCTTCAAAGACATACTCTAAGAGTCCGCTTCTAGCTTGCTTTCCTGCTGCTCCTGCTCTGGGTTTTTGACTTATTTCCACACAGTCCAGAGAACATACCACCATATCCCTACCTTTCAGCTTGTATGTTGTTCCTTCTCCTTTGAGTGCCCCTGCCGTCCTTGACCATTATCTTCTGACTAAATCCTTTGGATCACCAAGTCTCAGGTGCTACTTCCAGGCAGCCCTCTTGAATTCCATTCCAAGTCTTCCCTTCATTGAAGCTACCTGTCTTCCACCAAAGAAGTCATCTAGCAATCTCACCTGGGAATAAAAGGATGCTGAAGACAGAGCCGTTTCCTAGGTATCTCTCTGACTTCTGACAAACAGCGTATTATCCTGGCAGAACCCTCTAGAAGCAGAAATTGAACAAATATTCTACAAATTCAGACTTGTGCAGCTCTCCTCTCTTCTAATGTCCAGTGGTAGTTCCATCTGGACTACATTAGAGGCCTATATGTCGTGGTCCTAGCTTGTAGCTACGTGAACACTTGGCATCCTCTGTCCCCACTTCTCCACAAGCCCCAGCCAGTTGTGTTTCTGCTCAGGAATGAAGACATTCCGTCATTATTTCATTCCCTCAACAGCTTCTCATGGTAGGAGATGCCATGAGATCTTTCACCAACATTAATTCAAGAAGTAAGTGCTGAGCTCTTGATTCCCTTTCTTACTTCCCTCTCCTCTCTCCTCCTTTAATAGTCTTACTATGGTAGCCCAGCTTGGTCTCAAACTTACAGCCATTCACCAGCCTCAGCCTCTCCAGTACTGGGATTGCAGGTATACACCGCCACACTCGGCTTCTGCTTGTTTTCTTATAGCTCTAGCATGCCCTGGAACTCAAGGATCTCATGTGCTGATTGGAGGAGCCTATTGAATCATCCCACAACTGACCATCCTTAAATATCAGTCACTGTGGTTAACTTCTACACCAGCTCCCGTATGGCCTTGGTTAAAAAGCATATGCTGAATGAATTTAACGATATGTGTGTGCATGTGCGTTGTGTGTATGCTGAGGGACGTGCTGCTCGTACTGGTGTATGTTAACTCATGAACAAACATCCATACTGCCTGTGCCCTTACCCTCAAGTGACATGCCCCATTTCCATCCCTAACAATATTTTACTTTATAGCCGGGCGTTGGTGGCGCACGCCTTTAATCCCAGCACTCGGGAGGCAGAGGCAGGCGGATCTCTGTGAGTTTGAGACCAGCCTGGACTACCAAGCGAGTTCCAGGACAGCCTCCAAAGCCACAGAGAAACCCTGTCTCGAAAAAACCAAAAAAAAAAAATTTTACTTTATAGTGGTTGGAAAAAGATTCTCACATATCCCAAGCTGGCCTCAAACTCATTATGCAGCCAAGAATGGCCTTGAACCTCTGATCTTCAGGGTTTTGTCTCTTAAGTGCTGAAATTATAGGCTTGTTTCATCAGGCCCAGCAACATCTTGGTTTTTAGCCTTGTGAAAACCAAAGATTCCTATATGGTGGAAGGAGAGAATCAATCTTAGTAAGTTGTCTTCTGAAGTCCATGCATGTGGCCCATATACCTTTCATGTTAGACAACATTACAAAAGAAAAAAAAAGGACTTGTGTCTATACAGAATGAGCTCTGGACAAGGATTTTAAACTTCATTCCTTGCATTGATGCCTTTGATGATGTGCGATGGGAGTCTGGAAACTGCACAACTCCTAACAAAATAAAAGGATTTCTTCACTAAGAGACAAAAGACAAAAAAAAAAAAAATCAAAACCCAAAGTGGTGGCAAATGGTGGGTTAATCACAACATTGGGAAGACTGAAAGATAAGGACTGCTGGGACTGGATTTGGACCACATAGCAAGACTTTGTCTCAAAAATCCCCCAAACAACACACACACACACACACACACACACACACACACACACACCCTCCAAAGAAACAAACATCCAAGACTACTCTGTTACTCATCAGGACAAAGATTCCAGATGTATACTATACTGTCAAATAAAGTAGCCACTGTATGAAAATAAAGGGCCACCTCAGTTTTACAGCAAATCTGAGGTTGTGACACGCTGTCTTAAAGGAAAACAAAACATAAACACACACAAAATAAATGTAAAGAACAAAAAGTCATAAGGAGACTCGTTTTACAATCAATATATTCTGATAAAATTTAAAGTGATACTAAGCTAATTAAAAGTCAGTTCCTCTACTCCAGCCAGACTTCAAATGCTCAGTAGCTGCTTGTGTCAGGTGGCTACCATCTTGGATGACACACATATAGAACCATTTCCTTTTCTTATCCAGAAAATTCCATATGACAGCTCTGTTCTGGATCACTCTTTTACGAAAGCGGAGACTTAGGCCTAGAGAAGGAATGCTTGTTACAGAAAAACATGGGTCTAGATCCAAGTTATCTTACTTCGGGACACATCCTCCTGGTCCCTCCTTGCTTCTGAGACTCTAGGATACCCCCAGCTCAAAGATCCTAACTGGTGCTGGTGCTGGTGGTTGGAGGAGGCGGGATAGAGGTGGGGGCGAGGCTGGTTCAGAGAGATGCTTGTGACTGACCAGGGCTTCAGATGCTGCGCATTCCTGATCAGGTCAAGCTTGCCCAGAGGCACTCGGGATTAGCTCTTCTGAATAGCCACACCTCTTCTTTCTGGAGTTACCAGCTTCCTGCCCAGCCGAGGGGGCGCTTATATTCGGAGGCTCCCGCACTGCGTTGGGTGAGGCTAAAACAGGGAGAAAATTCCCTGCTAGGGCAGTACTTATGGTCAGAGAGGGCCTTGAAGAGAGGCAGGAAATTGGCCGCTGCATCTTTCAGAGGTCTCCAAGTCCAGCACCAGGGGCATCTGGGAACAGGGCTTCTTCGGCCAGCCCCTCCGGGAGTTGCATTTGGCGGGAATTGGATTTGCCTTCACCCGCACACCTGCAGTGGTGTGTGTGTGTGTGTGTGAGTGTGTGCGCGCGCGCGCGCGAGTGTCTGTGTGTGGTGGAAAAAAGGCTGGGAGAGGGGCGTCCTGGAATGGGGTAGGAATAGGGAACAGGAGGCGAGAGGCCAGGGGAGGGGGCGCCCGGGAGCGCCCTGACCTCGAGGACTGTCGAGAGGCGGGGAGGATGGGGGTTGGGGGAGAAGAGGGGAGCCTGGCAGCCAATGGGAGGGAGGATCTCGTTTCAAAAGGGTTAACCCACAGCCAATGAGAGCCTGGGGGAGCGGATCCTGCTCACTCCATTCAAGAATCCCAAGTATTCAAGATGGACGGCAGGGAGTGTGGAAGGAGAAAGGGGGCGCAGGGGGAAGAGCCAGATCTCTAGAGGAGCGGAGCGCGGCGGCCAGCCCATCCCGGAGCTTCGGTCCCGGCCGGCGGGTGGAGGGGCAGCTGGCGGGGACTCGAGCCCGGCGGGGACAGAGAGAGGCTGGCTGGGTACGAGAGGGCGTGAGAAGGGGAGCGAGGCCAGGAAGGGGAGCCAAAAGGGAGGGAAAGGCAGAGAAAGAGCCCGGGAAGAAGGAGGTGGCGGGCAGAGGAACCTAAGAAGAGCGATGCGTAGGTATTGGGAGCTCGGCGCTTTTCGGTTTTCTTCTCGGTGAGGGGAGGGGGGGCTCCCGCCTCTTTCTCTCCTCTGCTTTTTCCTCCCCTTCTCATTCTCCACTCGTAGGCATCTTCTCTAATTTTCCTTTCGAAACGCTATCTGGAGAGCACCAGGCGTGTCTCCCTGAGGTGGCCTCCCTGTCATTTTCCAATGGGGGCGTGGTGGGAAAGGGTGGGGGGCTCTAAGCCTGAGCCGTCTGCCTGTCCCTGGGTTTGGGAGGGTGTGGGGGCGCGGGGGGACCTGGCGGGTGTGTTCCGAGAGCAGCTAGAGCATTGCAGGGAACCTATCACCCCCAGAACTTAGGAGGTGAGCCCCATTTGCTGTAGCGGTGTTGAGGCTGGCTTTGGCTAGTAGCGGTTGGGTGCGAGGACGTGGGGAGCTGTGTCCCCACCCTCCAGTTGGGGTGAGTGTCGACTGAGGGGTGAGTTGTGTAGCAAGTATGGCTGAGAGTTTGCTTGTGCGTGCGAGCGCGTGTGGTCCAGCCTCGAGGTGTGGCAGGGGCACAGTTGGGTGTCGAGGGAAAGCGCCCCTCACCCCACACTTCCCAGCTGCCCCTCTCATCCCATTCACAGAACAGGGCTTTCAGGACCCTCCTGGTCTCCTCCTCCCGTCGCCATGGTTGCAGGAGGAGGTGGGGGGATTGCATGGGGAGACAGTTGGAGCCAGCCCCTTGCCCCTGCTGCTCCAGCTAACCCCCACCTGCCCTTTCTCTCCTTTCCACAGGCTGGGCCCCATCCCTGCTGCTCTGGCGGGCAGGGGCCGGAAGATGGTGGCCAATGAGGAGGGGGAGTGGAGAGAACTTGAGCCAGGGCCTCCCCTCCCCCATTTCCTCCTCTGTTTCTACACCCGCTTCTGGAAGGAGCTTGGGGGGGGGGTAGCTCCTAGGCCCAAGGTGGGGGAGGGGTCCTGCTGGCTGTTGAATTGCTGGTCTCCCCTCTCAGGAATGGTTTGAGCACGTGAGCTCCAAGGGACTCAGTGTCCCAGCTGCCTTTTCCTTCGCTCCTTAAGGAAAGATTTGGGAACTCCTTGATGAAGAATCTTCTTTGGCTACCGTGAAGCGTACTGGCTAGTCTTTGTCCCTTTGCCCCATGTTGGCCTGGTCCAGTTCCCAACTGGCTTGCCCAACTCCAGGAGCAAAGAGGCCTGGCGACTGACCCAAGCAGGGCCTTGGTTTCCGTCCATTAGAACTGTGCAAACTGGGCCAGGGCCCCGTGTTTGCAGATTACAAGAACAAACTCTGTCTGGGAAGGCGGGAAAGAACCTCTCCTTCCTGAGGGGGTGGGAGGAGGCTGGAGGGGGAAGCCCAGAGGAAGAGCTCCCGAGTGGAAGTCAATCCTCCATTTTTCCTGCTCCAGAAGGTAGGGGGGTCTCCCTGAGGCTGCTCCATGATTGGAATGAATCTCTCCACAGGGCGGAGTCGCCTCTCAGCCTCTGTCCCTTTGGTCAAAACTGTAGCTGGCTTCTGGTCAGTAGCTCTAGCTGGTGTGTGACTCCAGAGCCTAGTCTTTGGGTTTCCAAGTGCACCTGGCTTTTTTTTTTTTTATCAGTCTCCATGGCCCCGGGATTAAGGACGATGAGCTAGGACCATGAAAACAAGTGTGAAGTCTCCGCTTGGGGGCGGACAGGAAACTTGACTTCTAATCCCACTATCAATGAAAGCTTATCCTTAACTCAAGAGCCAAATCGCTGGCCATTTTGCTTAATGCCACATTTATAGATTGCTTTGACGACCTCAGAAAGGGAACAGTGCTTGCACCTCCGGATCTGGGAGCTTCTCTCCTGCCTAAGCACCTGTAACTATATCCCATCACTCGGGTCCTGGAGCTCCACCACCCGAGACATCACCACGGCTTCTTTATCAAAACTTAAGCTAGCGTTAGACTGGATACGAAGGTTCCCGCTGAAAGGTTGCAGGCAGTCGTGCAACCTCATGCTATTCCCAGCTGGACTATTTCGAAAACAAAACAAAAGGCATTTCCTTTGAGGGGTCACTTTTAAATGCTGGGGATCCCTTAGCCGCCTCATTCGGGCCTGCACCACCACCCCTCAGGGAAATGGGGGAGAGAGGAAGGCTGTGAGCTGGGTGGGCCAGGGGCTGGGAGAAGGGTGAGGAGGCAGGGCCGGCGTGTCTTTGCTGCTGGCCGGAGCTCTTTTTACATTGTGCTACTGTCTTCACCAGTAACGAGCAGTGCAATGTTAAAAGGGCATCGGCCTTGTAGTGCTACCCCGTGCCGGCAGCCTCCTCAGAGCCACTTTGTTTCTCCCGTCTGGGCACCAGTCAGCTACCCTGGCGAAAAGTCTTCAATTTATGGAGCCGTTTACATGTGCTGCAGTTCATAGGCTAGACATTGCATACGTCACCATGAGCCTGTTACTCACTGGCAAGTAACATCCCCGTTAGTTGGATTTAAAGAAAAAAACAAAACGGAGGGATGAAAAAGTTTAGGCTGTTTGGCTAAGGCTGATGAGTTAGGACTCTGTCCTGAGCCCAACAGGAAGGTACCCATCTTTTCAGTTAGGAGAGATTTGAACTGAGGGAGTGAAAGGTTTTGATGCCACCTGCTGGCCATGTGAGAGTATCCTCTGAAGTCTCCAGTTTTTAAGGATAAGCCTGGGAGCAGCTTCTTAAATGAAGGTCTGAGTTTCATGAGAAGCTTGGGATGGACAGTTGATGGTGAGGTGTGGGAGGAATGTTTTGAGGCCCACGGAAGACCCCTGGGAACAAGGAGGTATGCAGGGAAGGAAGGCGCTAACAGAAAAGGACAGTTGCCTGGGCAAAGAGACTTTCATATCCCCAGCCTCTTGCTGTGTGTGGGAAGGGGGTCTCTTCACCCATAGTTTTCAGTGTGGCCTGCCGAGCACATCACTTACAGTGATGGCTCTCAAGGACAGCCCTGCCCGGGCATCCAAGATTTGGGCAGCATTACTTTTTCGTTTGTTTGTTTCTCTGTGGCTTTGGAGGCTGTCCTGGAACTAGCTTTTGTAGACCAGGCTGGCCTCGAACTCACAGAGGTCCACCTGCCTCTGCCTCCCGAGTGCTGGGATTAAAGGTGTGTGCCAGGAACGCCCGGCTACTTAGGATCTTAAAAGATTAGTTTCTTAGGCCAGACCCAGAGTCTTCTCACGCTCCGCAACCATGCCATTTACTTTTCTGTCTTTCACAGGACTCTCCTTGAGCAGTTTTGAGCTTGCTCTGGTACAGGAAGTGTGACCAAGAGATGGAATTGAGTCTCTACTAGAGTTTAAGGAAAGAAAATTGGTATCAGTGGAACTGAACAATGGGTCAGGCGTTCTTTGTCCCCAGCACCGAGACGTTTCTGGCTTGTGTTTGCCCTTCTGAGCCTGCCAGTTCTTTGTCCTGCCACTGTCTCCCCATTCTGATGTTAACAGTGCTTGAGAAGATAGGTAGGTAGGTAGATAGATAGATAGATAATATTAAATCCATTACTTCCAGCGATTAAAGTCATCTGAGGGGCTGGAGAGATGGCTCAGCTGTTAAGGGCTAGGCTCACAACCAAAAATATAAAGTTATCTGAGCCTCCCTGGGCATAGAAGTGCAAGCCTTCAGTTTTAGCACTTGGGAGGCAGGTAAAATCAAATGCACTCGACACTAACATGATCTATATGGGAAGTTCCAGGCGAGCCAGGGCTGCATCTGCCTGCGGGCCCCTCCCCTGAACAAAAGCTTCATGTCTGACACAAAACAGCTGTTTGACAGTGTCACTGCACTCTTTAAGTTTGGGGACGGAGACCTTTCAGAGAATGCAGGAAGCCCTGGACAACACAACCTAAAGCCAGATATGGTAGAGCATGCTTGTAATCCCAGCACCTGGAAGGTGGAGGCAGAAGAATTAGATGTTCAAAGTCACATAGCAAGTTAGAAGGCCAGCCTAGACTATAGAAGACTGTTTAGGAATCTCAGTAGTTTGTCCATTATTTTCACACTGACCCCCTTGGCAAACCTCTGTCTCCAAAAAAATACATTCTGATCCATAACAGCAAAATTGCAGCTATGAAAATAATTTTATGGTTGGGGGTCACCACAGCATGAGGAACAGTACAAAAGTGTTTCAGCATTAGAAAGGTTGAGAACCATTGCTCTAAGGTGTACAGCTCTTCTGTTTAATCTCCTGTGTCTCATTCTCTTGTGCTTCTAGCCATAGAAAAACACAGTTTCCTCAAATTAATCAAGTTTGGGTCACATCACACAATTCCATCTGAATTCCTCTCCCTGGTCTTGCCCTTTGTCTGCCCATCTTTCCATCATGGTCTCTCTGTTCTGTAAAGCCATCCCTGACTCTTCAGATCTAGGTGAAGTTCCTCCTCAAGCTTCCACTGGACTAGATCCCTTATCTTCTGTGGGCCTTCTGGCCACTAAGGAGTTCCAAGAAATCACTCCATCCATGGCTGCCATGCATCCCCAGAGTTCAACACAATGCCTGGCAAGTAATAGCGTAGCCATAAGTATTTGCAATACCCATGACCTGATCTGGTACTAAGGATGTAAGCTAATGGATGGTTTTTACCATGCACACAGTTTTCCCCATAGGGTCTGAGCTGCTCCGAGTTGAAACTTCACGTCAGCGCGCCCACCCATGTTCCTGGCATCACACTTTTGTGCTGATGGCTATAGTTTTGAGCTGCATCACACTTTGGATCAACTGCCAGCAGCTTCTCGGTCCATGGATTTTCATTTTAGCCTCGAGGGTATCCACGAGTTGATTAAAACATTCTAGGACCAGGCCAAAAAAACCCAACAAGGAGACACAAACCACTAACTTGTGGGATAAGTTTGCACTAGCTGCTTACCCTGAGTACAGATTAAAAAGTAGCCTTGCTGGGGAAAAGTCCAGGGGACTGAAAACATTAGATGGTCCCTGTGGACATCAGAGCCCATGCCTCATGATTCACCTGGATGCATACCGCTCATGTAACAGATGGAAAAATCTTGCCATAGACGAAACAACTGCTGCCTCCTACCGGTTAAAAAGGGGGGCCTTGCTGGTGTGCATGCTGGGGACGGTACAAGGTCCATACCGGAAGGAAAGCCAGGACAGCACCTCACGCTCGCTTTTCCCCTTTTTATTAAAAATAGACCCAAACACTTTGTATCATACAAAAGTTTCATTCGCTGGTGGCAGTCACTGGAAAGACTGGTCCCGCAGCGCCGATGAGCCACCGCCTCCAAGGGACTGGGTCCCAGGGAGCAGTGGCTGAGCCTCGGGGAATGCCCATAAAGACTGCTCTCTCTGGCAACAGCCAGCTGGGGGTGGGGGCTGTTCTTGGAGCAGCTTTCCCCACCCCACCCAATGGCAAAGATTAGATACTTAAAAGTGCCTCTTTAGTGCCAAGGTAAACGGTGGAGTGAAATGGAAGCCCCTGCCGCTGATTTCCCAGGGTCTAGGGCTTGTGTTTTTTTCTAATATTGGCCCCATCCCTAGTCCTTTTACCAAGAATGGGGTTGGGTAAACTACCCTCAGACTCTGGGCCCCTGATATCTGAGACCAAAATTTCACTCCAACCTAAGTCTTTGCTATTCTGTGGTCGTCGTCCCCCCCCCCCCCACCAGCGTTTGTCCTGTTCATTCAGAAAAGGCCATTCACAGTTTGGTAACTCACAGTTCTGTCTGCCTGAGTTCACGCCCTGCCATAATGATCTCCTCTCCTCGGTCTTGTATTTCCCTGACTGCTACCCACAGCCTTTACCTGAGCCTTAACCACCCCTGGGGTATCGCAGGCTCCTGCTCCAAAGGGACCTGGTACTGCTGTGGGGGGATGGGGGAAGGCCGTGGTCATTTGGAGCCAGGTTTCCCCAGGGGTGGGCAGTGCTCATGCTGGTGTGGACTGCTCACAGGGCCAGGGGACTGGTGAGAGGAAGGTGGGGCATGCGGAGGAGGGTCGCAGCCTGCTGAGCCCCTCAGTCCCAGCCGTTGTCTTTCACCATGTGTGACATCTCAATGATGTACTTCCCTTCCTTGTATTTCTGGCTGGTCTCAAAAGCCTGTTCCTGGTGGGGAGTAAAGTGGCGACCATGGGGGAAAAATGTCTCCTCTCCAGGCTCCTCTGCCCACACCTAGGCAGACCCAGTTCTAAGCTTCCTCTGTGGACCGTGCAAAGGCCTGGCGTGTGGACACTGGAGCCGCGGGGACTGCCTGGGAAGTGGCCCTCTTCAAATACTTACATATTTCCAGCCCAGTGTGGTCTTGCAGCTTTCACAGAAAATGTCAGCTACCGAGTGGAGTCCTGTGAGCAGGAGGCGTTGCTCAGCTGGCCCACAACCCACGTTGACCCTGTCTCAGGAAACAAGGAGCCAGCACACAGTAGGGTTGCTCTGTCAGTCCATCCCCCAACCTACACAAAAGGATTTCTACCCGGGGAGAACTAGAAGCAACAGCCTTCCGAAGTCCACCCCTTCAGGATCAGTGCTTGGGTCGTCTTTCACCCCCCCCCAACTTAGACTGTTTTTCTGAACCCCTCTGCGAAGGGGAAGGTAAAAGTAGAGGTACCCAATCATTTTGAAGTCTTACCCCCCATTTTGCAAAGAGAAAAGCTGTTGGCGCACAAGCACATATACATACACACACAAAGAAAGCGGTAGACTCACACGGAGTTAAACAGGTAGGCCCGGCCATGGCTCCCTTGGAAGGACTGTGGAAACAGGACAGACAGTAACTGTTGGGTATGCCTCAGCCCCACTGCGTAAATCCCCGCTGGAGTGGCGGGAGACCTCAGGCGCTCCCATTGCCTAGGAGGGAAAGCCTGGGGGAGTGGCAGGCCCACGCTTCAGCGTTACCTTGGAAATAAGCTCATCGTGTTTGGCCAAGTGTGCTCGACAGTGGACACAACTGTAAGTGCGGTGGCAGCGGGGCAGGTAGCTGCGGAAAGTCTTGGTGGGTAGACAGGCAGGGGCCGGGCCGGGGTCACAGCTGGGCATGACGGGCTGGAGGACGATGCCCTGGCGGGCTGGAGGGGCTGGTGCCGTGCAGCCCCCACAGAGACGGTCGCAGGTAAAGCAGCGGAGTAGGTTGGCTAGAGCCGTGTTTCAGGACAGTGGAAGGGTGGGGGGGCTGCCCGGCCAGGGCCCCCCCAGACGAGAACCAGATAGAAATGGAAGTCACCTGGTAAGAAGCGAAGGTGCATCAGGGGAGATGTGACCTCATGAGGAGCCGCTCCTGCGTGGCTAAGGACGATGGGGCTCGGCTCACCTGTACCCTCCCACCTCAGCACAGCCAGCCCTCGGCTTCCCATTGCACTTTCTGTCCCCTAGAGTCCCATTCTGTTCTGGCAGCGGTTCCAGGCGTCTTGTGCCATGGCCAGGGAGTTGGTGCCTCTTTCTCTCCAGAGGCAGTAGCAACCTCCAGCATTTTCCACTGAGCAGCCTGCTGGCACATACACTGCCTTAGGATCAGCATCACCTGCAGAGACCCCTTGTGTCCAGTTCTGTGAGAAACTGCCCCCTAACATGCTCAGAACCTTTTAACAGTGAAGTCTTCCCGAGCTGTTGCTTTGTTTGTTTGTGTTTCCTGTGGTTTTCTCTGTCTCAGGGTCTCTGTTTGCAATACAACTGGCCCGCACTTTGGGAAGGAAGGAACAGGCAGATGGGTGCATACATCCGTTTCAGCCTTCTGGAACTGAGTTCTGAGCCCTGGAACTCCATAAAACTTGGTAGCTCCTTCAGTTATCTCAACCCTTACGCGTGGCTGCTACAGCTCTCAGGCTTGAGGCAGCACTTGCTGCTGTCTTCCTAGCCTCTGGTCCTCAGGTCCCATCTTTATTTTACTTACTGTTACCTTAGCTCTGAGTTAAACACAGGCACCTAGCCCTGGGAGAAAAATTGTCCTTCCTCCCTCCAGCAAGTCTGACAGCTGGGCCGCTGGAAAATAAGCAGCACATCAGAAAGCCAGACTCCCGGGCTGTGTGATATAATGTGAGAGCAGCATTAACAGGAAACGTCAGGCTAAGGGGACTCCTTATTTTTAAGAGCTGGGCTTTGGGAAAAATGCTTCCTCTCCCAGGAGCTAGGGCGAATGAACACCAGTGACAGGGCAGCAGCAAATGAAATAATTGCAGGGTTCTGATTAAGAATCTTAAGACGCTGGTATCGGCTCACACTCCAGCCCCAGCGTGGCTGAGGGTACTGCAGGCAGAGGATAAGGAGCAGGGAGTCATTTGTTAACTCTGATAAGCAGATGAGGTGCCCTACCCTGCAGCCTTGGGTGGGGTAGCCTGTGTCTCCTTCAGCAATGCCCGCTAACTGCTCTAGAGATGCTAGACCACCCCGCAGAGGAGGCAGTATGGCTCCAGTTGCCAGGACAGACAGGCTATCCTCCTGTCCTCCGTGGTGGCCATGAGCACCCCAACTGTTCTGTTCTCTCCAAGGGCTGCCGAGCAGTCTTTCCACAAATGCCCCTGAGTGAGACCATCTTCAGTTTCTGCTGAGTCCCCGGAAGACACCTTGGGCTAAATTCAGGGTGACATTGTGTTCTGGCCCTCCTTGCTACACTTCAGCATCACTTCCTTGATCTGCCTTCAACTTTGCTTTTGAGTTCCTCTCAAGGTTCCACCTTGAGACACCTACTTCAAGAGACTAGGAGATGCCAGGTTCATCCCCTCCCTCTGTCTTCCGTTGCTTCCCCAGCCCCGTCCTTCTGTCATTGTCACGCCTCCCTCTCTGCCCCCTGCTTCTCTGTCCAGCAGAAGAGAAGCTGCAAAGAAGGCCAAAAAAAAAAAAAAATCATAAAAACAGGAGAGTTGGGGTCATTTCTTCTCCCATCTCTTGTCATGGGGTGAATGAAGCAAATCAGGCAAATGACTGAGGGCAGAAAAAACAAAAACAAAAACACCAAACAAACGAGAGCAAAGGTGAGTGCTGAGAAGAGGACATTCCCTGATGCTGAGCCGGGGCTGGACTGTAGAAATGGGGGAGCTGAAGGGCTTGCAGCTGGGAAGACTGGCAACTGACAGCAGTGGTGATGAGGCAGACGCCCGTGGAACCAGGTGCGAATCCGGTGCCTCTCGGGGAATTGAAAAGGGGAGAGGGACTTGTGCTCACAAAAGATACATTCAGTCGCTTTGAGGTTTTACCTCCCCCTGGGCCAGCATTTTCAGTATGGTATGGTCCGAATAATTAGCGGAGCAGCCAGCTCCCAAGGCGGGCTTCGGGGGTCTGCACCAGCAGCAAAAACAACAAACAGTGATGTCTGATGCTGGAGCCAAAGTTGCCAGGAAATAAGTGCGAGAGAATCGTCAGGGCTTGGGGGAAGGATGGAGGAGCCGAGAGAGAGGAGCGGAGGCACCAGGGAGGGGGAAGGGAGAACAAAGGGTGGATGAATAATGCTTCTGCAAAGAGGAGAAAGCGACACGCAGCAGGAAGAGGAAATTTGCAAAGGGGAAAAATTGATTTGGAGAAGGGCTGCCCCCCCCTCACCTTGAGGTCTGCTCCAGAGATCTCCGTCTATCTCTCTCAATCTCTCTGCTCACTCTTCTCTCTTCTCTTTCCGCTCCTTCAACTGGGAAGGGGATGGTATTGGGGGTGGGTAGCTGGGGGTTTGAGGACTGGGGCTGCAGGGTGGACAGCGGCTGGGGCCAGAGGTTGCCTCTTGCTCTGTACCTCGGTCTGTGGGTAAATGTGGCTGTGTGTTGTGGAACTGCATCATAACACTGTGAGTCATCCAACCCCCCACCCCCCTCACCTCCCACGTCAGAGCAGGGCTGGGAGACACAGGAGGCGGGTTGGGAGGGAGGGAGGGAGGGAGGGAGGGAGGGGGCAGGCATCAAGGGACCGGGCTAGAGGAGTGATGTTAGGGAGTGGAGGCAGAGGGATGGCTGGCTTTGGGGTGTCGATACTGGTGGTAGGCAAAAGACAGGTTGCTACGGAGCAAGGCTATGTGACCACGGAAACAGAACCTGAGGGAAGGACAGCGATGGAGTTAGGGTGGCAGGACTGGGGAAAAGAGGGAGGGAGGCTGGGGAAGTGAGAGATGGATAGGGAGAGAGCCAAGAAGCACACACACACTCAACAGCATACATCTTTCCACTTCAACTCGACGTCAGCTCTCATAAAGGGTAAAGGAGGATATACTAATTGTCGCGGATGACAAACTGGGCTCTCGAATGTGTACAGTACTGAGCACTTGGAAGCTTTAGCAACTCGGTTTAATGCCTCCCAAAGAAGCCATAGGTCAAATATGATATCTTGTACGGGGAACCTCTTATCAACTACTGCCTCCAAAATATTTGTGCTGTGAATGAGACACTTATATGACATGAGGTTCTTGACTGTGCTGTAGACTTTCCGAGGCAGATCCTCAGGCAAACCTCACTGTGCCCCAAGACCACATCATCTAGTGGAAAGCCCTGCATGTAGAAGAGACTTACAAAACAGGAGTTTGCTTGCATCTTCAGACACTGGCCAAGTGTCTGGCTTTGATCTGAGTTGAAATCTTAGCTCTGCCAATTATTCACCAGGAACCACGGGCAAGTGACTAATCCTCCTGCGCCATACAGATTCTCTTCTGCTCAGTGAAGCTAATAATATTTACCTCATGGAGAAGTGACTGTGTGAGATAGCATGTAAATTTCCAAAGGAGTGCCTATCACACAATAGGTCCTGAGTAAAGAGCAATGTAATTTTCTTTAGTTCCCTCTTTTTTGTTGTTAACTTTTTAAGTTAGCATTTAAATTGAGGAGTTTTGTTAGAGTTAGTGTTGTTTCAGAACAGCATTCTCTACATGGAGCAATGAGGCAAGCAGAAGGACTGCAAATTCCAGGCCAGCCTGTGCTTCGTGGTAAGATCGGGAATAAATAAAGAGAAACCTCATGCTGGGCGGTGGTAGCAGAAGGCAGAGCAGGCGGATCTATGTGAGTTCAAGACCAACCTGGTCTACAGAGCTAGTTCCAGGACAGGCTCTAAAGCTATTGAGAAACTCTGTCTCTAAAAACAACAAACAAAGGAGGATGAATTTGAAGATCCAGCCTTGAGGGAAACAAAGGAAAGGTCTTTAGGGTATGGATTTAAAGCTGGAAGCAAAAAGGATATTCATAAATTTCAATCAACAAAGGAACAAAATGATCAAAGCTTTAGCTGGTGAGAAGGAACAGGACACATGGCAGAATGATTTGGGGGTGGGTTGGAGAAGGCAAGAGCCTAGGGAGACAGGAATGAAGAGAGTGGGCAAGCACAGGTGCTTTCAATGCTCTGTCCTTTTTCTGTGTGTGAGAAGCAAAGTGGAGGGCTGGAGAGGTGGCTCAGAGGTTAAGAGCACTGACTGCTCTTTCAGAGGTCCTGAGTTCAATTCCCAGCAACCACATGGTGGCTCACAACCATCTGTAATGAGATCTGGTGTCCTCTTCTGGTATGTGCAGACATACATGGAGGCTGGATGTTGTATTCATAATAAATAAATCTTAAAAAAAAAAAAAGAAGTGCCGGGCGTTGGTGGCGCACGCCTTTAATCCCAGCACTCAGGAGTCAGAGGCAGGTGGATCTCTGTGAGTTCAAGACCAAGCCTGGTCTACCGAGCGAGTTCCAGGACAGGCTCCAAAACAATACAGGGAAACCCTGTCTCGAAAAAACAAAAACAAACAAACAAACAAAAAACCCCCAAAACATTGTCGAGAACAATGTGGCTATAACTGACCTAGGAGGGGATTAGGCATGCATGTGATGCATGTACATGCCATGCAGGCAAAACGATCGTATACACAAAATATGCCGGGTGGTGGTGGCACACACCTTTAATCCCAGGAGGCAGAGGCAAGTGGATCTCTGTGAGTTCGAGGACAGCCTGGTCTATGGAGTGAGTTCCAGGACAGCCAGAGCTGCTACACAGAAAAGCCCCCTGGGGGGAGAAAAAACAAACCATATGGGGGGCTGGTTGGAGAGATGGCTCATGGGATGGGTGACAGGCAGTTGTTGCACTTGCAGAGGTCCCCCGATTCCCAGCACCCACAGGGCTACTCACAGCCACCCTTGACTCCATTTCTTTTTTGTTGTTGTTGTTGTTTTTTGTTTTTTGTTTTTCGAGACAGGGTTTCTCTGTGGCTTTGGAGGGTGTCCTGGAACTAGCTCTTATAGACCAGGCTGGTCTCGAACTCACAGAGATCTGCTTGTCTCTGCCTCCCGAGTGCGCCACTGACGCCAGGCCCTTGACTCCATTTCTAAGGGATACGACATGTCTTCTGACCTCTACTGGCACGAAGCACATATATACACACAGGCACAAAACCCACATTCATAAGTCTCAAAAAGCTGGGCGTTGGTGGCACACGCCTTTAATCCCAGCACTCAGGAGGCAGAGGCAGGCGGATCTCTGTGAGTTCGAGACCAGCCTGGACTACCGAGTTCCAGGACAGCCTCCAAAGTTACAGAGAAACCCTGTCTTGAAAAACCAAAAAAAAAAAAAAAAAAAAGCCAGTGGAGGCACACGTCTTTAGTCCCAGCTGAGAAAGATGGAACTCTGTAAGTTCAAGGCCAGGTTGGTCTACAGAGAGAGTTCCAGGACAGCCAAGGCTACACCTGGAACTTGAAAATCAAAACAGGCAGCAACAAAAAAGAAAAAGAAAAAAGAAAGGAAGAAAAGCAGTAGCTGCGCTGGGCTTTGGTGGCGCAGGTCGTTGGTGGCGCACGCCTTTAATCCCAGCACTTGGGAAGCAGAGGCAGGAGGATCTCTGTGAGTTCCAGGCCAGACTGGTCTACAGAGCAAGTTCCAGGACAGCCTCCAAAACAATACAGAGAAACCCTGTCTCGAAAAACAAAAAACAAACAAACAAAAAAAGCAAACTGGGAGTATCGGTTGTAACTACGGCACAGGGTTCTAGCTGGAGTTCGATGAATGCGTGCCCTCTGTGCCTGTGCAGCCATGGAACAAGACCTAACAGGTTCATACTATGTAATTGTTTCCCCGTTAGTATAAATTGATCCAGCTCCCTAAGTTCTTGTTTTGGATATGTTTTGGCTTTCAAATGGCTACAATCAAATACTTGACAAAAAGCAACTGGAAGGGGTTTTCGTTTTGACACGTGGTTCAGGAGACGGAGTGCGTCGGCACAGGGACAGAGCGGCAGTGGAAACCACTTGCTCACATCTGGGCACATCAGCAAGCAGACAGAGTGCCATGCTGGTGCTTAGGTGGCTTTTTCCTCTTCCTCTTCTGACTCAGTCCAGCACCCCAGTCCCTGGAACGGGGCTGCCCACATTCAGGGTGAATCTTTCCTCTTCCGTTACCTTTTTCTGGAACCCTTTCACAGACACATCTCCAAATGTGCCCCATTGGTGTCCACAGTGTTTACTAATCCAATCAAGTTGACAAATGAAATTAACCATCAAAAAGCCGACCTCTAAGCCTCATAGTGGCACAAGCTTTAAACCCAGCACTCTCGAGGTGGAGGCAGGTAGATCTCTGTTTAAGGCCAGCCTGGTCTATGTAGTGAGTTCCAGAACAGTGAGGACAGTCTCTGAAAAACAAAAACAACAAAACAAAAAGCCTACCTCGGGCTGGAGAGATGGCTCGGAGGTTAAGAGCACTGACTACTTTTCCAGAGGTCCTGAGTTCAATTCCCAGCAACCTCATGTTGGTTCACAACCATACATAATGAGCTATGGTGCCCCCTTCAGGCCTGCAGGGATACATGCAGACAGAATACTTTATACATAACAAATAATAAACCTTAAAAAAAAAGCCACCAGGTGGTGGTGGCGCACGCCTTTAATCCCAGCACTCAGGAGGCAGAGGCAGGCGGATCTCTGTGAGTTTGAGACCAAGCCTGGTCTACCGAGCGAGTTCCAGTACAGTCTCCAAAACAATACAGAGAAACCCTGTCTCGAAAAACAGAAAAACAAAACAAAAAAAGCCTACCTCTTCTAAAACTGAATGTTTCAGCAAATGCCTCTTATCTTAGTTTCCTCCCAAAATGAAACTGGAGATAATATACCCACCTGGTTTTGAGGGTGTTGTGACATAAGACACCTGGAGGAACTGGAAAAATGTAAAGCATGGTATATGAACAGATGATATGACTACAGTCTCTCCAGCTTATAATACAAACTTAAAGGCTAACATCAGACACTTGCTAAATTATAGGCAATGTGCTTAGTGCTTTACATATATCTCATCCGATCTTCAAAACAACTTTAAGAGGTTGAATACTGTTATTATTCCCATTTTACAGACAAGAGACGTCTCAGGGAAAGGAAGCCTGTGATTTATTCAGTCAAGCAATGAGCCAACCATACAAGATTCCAAAGGCCATGCTCATGAAAAGTGGATTATAGACATGGTGGAAACCGGTTAGCAGGGTGTAAATGATTGACCTTGTATAACTGTCTGATTTACAAAGAGAAGCAGTCCAGACTCTGGAAGAGTTTGATGAATAATGATTGGTTTATAAGTTTAATGGAAGAAAATCACTAGGCTTTTATTCTACGTTTACTAAAGGGGGAAAAAAAACACCCTGAAAACCCAACAGCCATCCTGGCTTGGTAACTCAAACGTGTAAATTCCGACATTTAGGAGCTGAGGCATAGCCTGGGGAGGTGGGGGTGGGCTACAGTGGCACCAAAAAAAAAAAAAAAGAAAAGAAAAGAAAAGAAAAAATAAACAAAAATTTATACTTGGTTCCTTCTACGTCCGGCACCATCAGGCAGAGGTTGTCAGCTCTGTGTAGCCTCAAAGGGGACTGTTTCTGTCAATTTCCCTCTGCCTCGGTCTGCTTAAGCTAGGCTTTGCTAACTTCGCCAGTTTCTGGCTTGTGATCTAGACGACCAGAGGATCCAGACAGCGAGGCCTCTCCCTTTCTGGTCGCCTTTAGCTTTCCTGGACAGCAGATGGGGAGAGACCATGTAATCGTTTTCCGCGCGTGGGCACACCGGCAACGCCTCCTCTCCGCCTCCTGCGGTCTTCCCGCACAAAGTGACGACGGCGCTGCCCCGCCCACCTCGCGCGTCACGGCACAATCCTGGAACTACAACTCCCAGAGGGCTTAGCGTCAGCGCGCGCTCACTCACCCTAACTGCTGGTCCCAAGAGGCATTACGCGACCGCGCCTCCTCCCATCGCGCAAGAGCGGAACCGCACTTGCCTTCCGGCTGCTCTCTTTAAGAGAGCGTTGTCTGTGTTTGTGCTGCAGTCCTGTCCAAAGAACTCTGCTGCTCTGATTTAGGATCTGCGGTTGTGCAGGTAAGGATCCCAATTCACTTCTGCGAGGCCTGGGCAGAGTTTTGTGTTGGAGCTAACTGCGACAAATACTGGACTAGAAGTGGGGTTCAGAATCAGAGATAGTAACTTGCGTTTCTTTGCAAGATTCTAATTTACGGTGTTTCGTTTTGTTTTTCCTAGTGTGGTAGCTCTTAACACACTGTTAGGTGAGGACAGTGTAAATTCCCACCATATGACAGCCGAGGAGTTGGTTCGGTGTAGGAGTCCCACATCCTGACATACAACTGTTTCCTTAGTCCGAACCCACTATTCTAGTTTCTTGTTGGCTAAGAGAGTTGGAGTTATTTCTTTTCCGATAGGATGATGGAAGGAAGACCACGCAATCAAGTTTTCTGTTAGTTTCATCTGTAGGGAGTTTTTCTTCATTATTATTATTATTATTGGTTTCGAGACAGGGTTTCTCTATATTGTTGGGATTAAAGGCGTGCGCCACCAACGCCCGGTGAGTTTTTTTCTTTATAACCTGCCATTCATTCACTGTTTTCTGTTGAGGTGCACTGCTGTTCTACCTACTAGAGATAGAGTAGCAAACAAAAATGTCTCTCTCCTAATTGTGGGGAGACCTGCAAACCAATACCCAGTGAGTCGGAAGGCAATAAGAACTCTGCAGAAAAAGATAAAGGGATGAAATCATTGGAAGATTTTGAACGATGGCCTGACTATTATAGATGACTATTAATCTTTATTTTTTAATTACACATTACTTTCTTTTTGTTTTTTGTTTTTTGTTTTTGTTTTGTTTTTTTTTTTTTGGTTTTTCGAGGCAGGGTTTCTCTGGCTTTGGAGGCTGTCCTGGAACTAGCTCTTGTAGACCAGGCTGGTCTCGAACTCACAGAGATCCACCTGCCTCTGCCTCCCGAGTGCTGGGATTAAAGGTGTGCACCACCACCGCCGGGCTTTCTTTTTGTTTTTTTGAGATAGGGTTTCTCTGTGTAACTTTGGAGTCTGTCCTAGAACTCTCTCTGTAGACCAAGCTGGCCTTGAACTCACAGAGATCCCCCTCTGCCTTCCCAGCGCTGGGATTAAAGGTGTGTGCCATCACTGCCTGGCTGTGTTTCCTATCTGTATGTGGCTTATTGTATTTTTTTTTATTACTCTATTCCTTTTTAAAGGCCTTTCTGTACCCTTTTTCTTTTCTCTCCCAACCTATGTAAATTTTTAAACACTGTAGCCCATTCAGACTGGGGGATACCTCTGTACCAAGGCTCATATGAGAGATGGCCCGAACCCACCATGTGGCTTAGCTCCTGCCATGCTGGCAGCTGCCAGGAGATGCATCTCTGTACCACAGCAGGCACGAGAGACACAAGACTAGGAAGTTGCGTCTGGCTCTGTTTATATGTGTTTAGAACCTTTGAAAAGAAGCTTTTTCAGGCTTTATGTGAATGTAAGTGACCCTGGATGTTTGTTGGCGGAAGTTTTTGTCCCACCAGCAGCTTCCAAATAAACAAAAAGAAGCTTAATATTAATTATAAATGCTTGACCGGATAGCTCAGGCTTGTTACTAACTAGCTCTTACAACTTAACTCATTTCTGTTAATCTGTGTGCTGTCCCGAGGCTCATGGCTTTTACCCCTACCCCGTTTTATATGTCTGGCTCCTTGTGACTGCTCTGACTCCGCCCTTTCTATTCCCAGCATTCTCCCTGTGTGTGGCTGTCTCACCTAATCTCTTCTTGCCCAGCTATCAGCCAGTCAGCGTTGTTTTAAAATTATCAGTAACAACGTGAATAGTACACATTTACAGTGTTCAGAGATTGTCCCAAAGCAATGGCCTTATGTAATGATTTGATCTAATGTTTAATTTGGGTTCTAGACACATCAGCTATACAGAAAAGATGAGCGAGGAGTCCAATGACGACAAGAAGCAAACAGCTAAATATGAGCTCGAGCGAGAAACAGAGCTTCGGTTTGAGGTGGAGGCGTCTCAGTCAGTTCAGCTGGAATTGTTGGCTGGCATGGCAGAGATCTTTGGCACAGAGCTTACCAGAAACAAGAAATTCACCTTCGATGCTGGTGCCAAGGTGGCTGTTTTCACTTGGCATGGCTGTTCTCTGCAACTGAGTGGCCGGACTGAAGTGGCTTATGTCTCTAAGGACACCCCTATGTTGCTTTACCTCAACACTCATACGGCTTTGGAGCAGATGCGGAGGCAGGCAGAAAAGGAAGAAGAGAGAGGCCCCCGAGTGATGGTAGTGGGCCCTACTGATGTGGGCAAGTCCACAGTGTGTCGACTGCTGCTCAACTATGCAGTGCGTCTGGGCCGCCGCCCTACCTATGTGGAGCTGGATGTGGGGCAGGGCTCTGTATCCATCCCTGGTACCATGGGGGCCCTCTATATTGAACGGCCGGCAGATGTGGAAGAAGGTTTCTCCATCCAGGCCCCTCTTGTGTATCATTTTGGCTCCACCACTCCTGGCACCAACATCAAGCTTTATAATAAGGTCAGAGCTGGAGCTAAGATGGGGTGGAGGGAAAAATGAAATCAGGGTAGGAAGTAGGGAATTTTGTTACTTAAAACGAGAATTTTTTTGTTTTGTTTTTTGTTTTTCGAGACAGGGTTTCTCTGTATTGTTTTGGAGACTGTCCTGGAACTCACTCTGTAGACTAGGCTGGCCAGGAACTCACAGAGATCCACCTGCCTCTGCCTCCCAAGTGCTGGGATTAAAAGTGTGCACCACCAACGCCTGGCCTAAAACTGAAGAATTTTTTGCCTCTGACTTAATTGCTTTGAATTTAGAAGAATCCATTTTAAACTTAAGCCAGCTTCAGATTGCTACACATTTTGTGGCCCTATTCTTTTTTTCCCCTAGGAAACCAAGAATTTTTATTATTTATTTATTTATTTAGGTTTTTCAAGACAGGGTTTCTCTAGTCCTGTCTGTTTTGGAACTTGCTCTCTAGACCAGTCTGGCCTTGAACTCGGGAGATTGGGCTGCCTCTGCCTCTGGAGTGCTGGGATTAAAGGTGTTTGCCACCACTGCCCACCTTTATTTTATTTTTCTGGTTTTAGACTAGAGTTTTGTTTTGTACTGTGGGCGGTGGTGGGCTTGGGATGTAGTTCACTTGCCAAACACATTTCAAGGCTTGTGGTTGGATTCCCAGCCCTCTACACAGGATTGTACCTATTTCTCTAAAGGGGAACTTAAATAGATGGATTTAGGAACTGGAGACATGGCTCAGTGATTAAGAGCATTGGCTGCCCCTCCAGAGGACCTGGGTTCAATTCCCAGGGTCCGCACTTACGTGACAGTTTAGAACTGTCTGTAACTCCAGTTCCAGGGAATCTGACACCTTCATGGACATCCATGCAGGCTAAACACTAAATCAGTGCACATAAAATAAAAACAAGTAAATAATATAGGCAGGTTTGTCTGGTTTTTGTTCTCATTTTGATTCTTTTCCAGATCACATCACGCTTAGCCGATGTGTTCAACCAAAGGTGTGAAGTGAACAGAAGAGCTTCTGTGAGTGGCTGTGTCATTAACACCTGTGGCTGGGTCAAGAGCTCTGGTTACCAGGCCCTGGTGCATGCTGCTTCCGCCTTTGAAGTAGACGTGGTTGTGGTTCTGGATCAAGAACGACTGTACAACGAATTGAAAAGGGACCTGCCTCATTTTGTTCGAACTGTGTTGCTTCCAAAATCAGGGGGCGTGGTAGAACGCTCCAAGGACTTCCGTCGGGAATGTAGGGATGAACGTATCCGTGAGTATTTCTATGGATTCCGAGGCTGTTTCTATCCCCATGCCTTCAATGTCAAATTTTCTGATGTGAAAATCTACAAAGTTGGGGCACCCACCATCCCAGACTCCTGCCTACCTCTGGGCATGTCTCAGGAAGACAATCAGCTCAAGTTAGTACCTGTCACCCCTGGCAGAGATATGGTGCACCATCTCCTGAGTGTCAGCACTGCTGAGGGGACAGAGGAAAACCTTTCTGAGACAAGTGTAGCTGGATTCATTGTCGTGACCAGTGTGGATCTGGAACATCAGGTGTTTACTGTCCTGTCTCCAGCCCCCCGCCCACTGCCTAAGAACTTTCTTCTCATCATGGATATCCGGTTCATGGATCTCAAGTAGTCATTAGCAAGGAGCCTCCCTTTCTGGGCCATAGAAATCTAGCCATCACCAAAGGCAGATGGAATGAGATTTGGGAGGCTTATTAAGGAGCTGACAAGGAACAACTTGAAACAAGAAAGTACACCTCTACCTCTTAAGACAACGGTAGTAGCCAGCCGGACTCCTGTAACTCTGAACCAAAGGGAGAAACTACAAAAGGAAAATTTGACTATTTTTTTAAGATTGCACCAGGTGCCACTTTTAAATATTCCAAGACCCTGGAGAATTCCATGTCTTCACTGTGCTACCATGAGAGGTTTTTTGTTACTGCTTTCTAGTCCATATACAGTTCTTGTTATATAACCAGGATGAAAGTGAGATTAAAATTCAAACTTGAAAACAGTTATTTTAATAAATAATATTAAGTTGGTATGATTCTTATTTTACTTTCCCACCTAAGCATTATAGCCTTATAGAAACTATAGGAATAATTTATTGCTAAAAATCTGTGAGGAGAAGCCTAAGAACCTACTTGTGATCTGAGTATGTTTTTTGTTTTTGAGTTTTTTTGTTAAGACAGGGTTGTGCTGCCTGGCTGCCAAGCATATGTTTATGATGGTCCCCTCTTGCTTCACACTTAGATGGTAAACCTGTTTTCAGTGCTAGGTGTACTCAAGATAAGAAACTAGTGATAATCTTGGGATGATTTCTCATCTCTATTTCCTAGAGATAGCCCATTACTTTTTTTTTTTTTTTAGTTTTATGTATGTATGAGTGCTCTCTGTTTGCGTGCCTACATGCCAGCAGAGGGCATCGGGGTACCAGACCCCATGACATATAGCTGTGAGCTACTATGTGGGTACTGGAAATTGAACTCAGGACCTCTGGAAGAGCAGCCACTGCTCTTAACTGCTGAGCCATCTTTCCAAGCCCCAATCATTTTGTTAAAACTATCCTTCCTGTTGTCTCTTTGTATAGAATCAGGTTCCAGTGTCCAGATGTACTAGAGTTTTGGGTATTAAGCTGGGAAAGCCCATTTTGGTGTTTCTGGTTTGGTCTTTAGTTAGTATTGAATAAATTTATCCATTCCTTTATTCCTCGATTTTTTTTAAAGATTTTATTATGTATACAGTGTTCTGCCTGCATGTATGCTTGCATGCCAGAAGAGGGCACCAGATCTCATTACAGATGGTTGTAGCAGCCATGTGGTTTCTGAGAATTGAACCCAGGATCTCTGGAAGAGCAGCCAGTGCTCTTAACCTCTGAGCCTCTCTCCAGCCCTATCCCCCAATTCTTTATTGAGTACATACTCATCAGAAAATGTTCTAGGTGGGGAACAAAATACAGTTTTACGGAGCTTGCAGCAAAAGTAAAAACGGGCAAGTAGTATACAGAATCTTAAATTTGGGGATATGGAACAGAGTCAAGGAGGGCCCTTTCTGAGAATACATACCAGTAAGACCTGAAAAAGTTAAACAGTGCTTGTGCAAAAGCTTCCCAGTATAGGAAACTACAAAGCCCTAGAAAAGAAAGCCTTGAGTTGGGTGGATGAGAAAGCACTGTAATTGGGTGTTTGTTATGAACCTAACAAAAGGAAAGGTGAGGAGGCTGGAGGGACGGAGGGATCAGAGAAAGTGTGGTGTTCATGAGCCGCAGTCAAGCAGGTTTTACCCACAGCAGTGGGAGAGGTCATAGGACTCCGGTCATTGAGCAGAGAAATGGCACAATGCTCTTGACATGTGACAGACTTCCTTCTGGTTCTTCATAGTTAGCTTTGGTTGATTTTCCTACTGCTCTCCCCTGCTTCCGGGTCCTCTGTTCCTCTGTACCCGTCTACCTCCAGGACCCCTCCCCACACACATATATTGTACTAACCCATTTTGAAAAGATAATTGCTGTACGGAGTTGATTACAGAGGGCAAGCCTCTGGAGAAGCCCGGGAACAAATGGGATGTTTTGGGGTCAGTATCAAGGTGTGAAATGGTGGGGACTGGGTGAGGGCTGCAGAGGGGGATGGGAAGGGCTACCATCTGTGCTTTGGGATATTTTGAAAGTAAAATGGACAGGAATTGCTGATAAAAGTGATAAGGAAAAGAAAATGGAATCCAATCTCAGAACTTGGGAAGCAGGCTGCTGAGTTCAAGGCCAGCCTGGTCTACAGAGCGGGTTCCAGGACAGCCTGCAAAACAACACAGAGAAACCCTGTCTCAAAAAACAAACAAACAAAAAAAACCAACCAGACAAAGAAAACATTTAAAAATTATTTATTCGCCGAGCGGTGGTGGCACACGCCTTTAATCCCAGCACTCGGGAGGCGGAGGCAGGTGGATCTCTGAGTTCAAGACCAATCCTGGTCTACTGAGTGAGTTCCAGGACAGGCTCCAAAACAATACAGAGAAACCCTGTCTCAAAAAAACAAAAATTATTCATATTTTATGTGCATTGGCGTTTTGCCTGAATGTATGTCTGTGTGAGGGTAACAGATTCCCCTGGAACAGGAGTTAAGACAATTGTGACCTGTCATGTGGGTGCTGGGAATTTAACCTGCATTCTCTGGAAGAGCAGCCAGTGCTCTTAACCACTGAGCCATCTCTCCAGCCCCTTAAATTTTTATTATAACTTTTTGTGTAGGTATCTATGTGCATTGTGGAATACTTGCCACAGAACATGTGTGGAGGTCAGAGGACAACCTATGGAGTGGTGTCAGTCCTCTCCACCTTTATGTGGGTTTGAGGGATGGAATTCAGGTCACCAGATTTGAGGAGTCAAGCATCCTTTTTACCCACCAACTGAGCTATCTCGCCAGCTGTTGGACAGGGTCTTACTGTGTATCCCAAGCTGGTCTCCAACTTGAGATTCTCCTACTAAGCTCTCCTAAGTGTTGGGGTTGCAGTTGTGGGAAACTAAAGGAAGGAGTAAGAGACTAGCAATTGGGTTTTGGCATTGTTGAAGTCTGAGCCATTATTCATTATCTGGAGATACAGCATAGACAGCATCTGGAGCCTTAGAAAAGGTTAGGGCTGAAAGTTCACAACAGCCACTGAACTTTGCAGATGTTTTATCTTCAGCACAGTGGCTGTGCCTCAGTCTACTGCTATTTTAGCCAGCAATTGTGACTCCACAGTTACCTGTTTCTCTGGAAGCAGCCAGAAATTTTGCTCCCAGAGGCACTGGCCCTGTCTTAGCTGCTATAGGTAGCACTGACTAATTCTATTATTCTATTATAAGTAGGACTCGAGATTCAAAGGCTGGAATGAAAACCTGCTAGTTCAGAGAGGTTAAGTAGCAGCCAGCTAACCTTCTCTCCTTGCTGATGTCTCCCAAAAAGCCTGTCCTGTTCCACCAAGACAAAGCCGTACCACTCAAAATCCCTCCCTACTATTCTAGTGCATCTCTCTGTCTCTTCCAGATGCCCTCTGATGCTCTGTGACAACTCTCTGTCAACCAGTTGCTAACTCAACCTCCTGACCCAAGGTTAATTTTATTTATTTAATGCAAATGCCAACTCGGGGTTCACAGTGTGATTGAATATCCCCCAACATACAGAAAGCACTTTAATCAGTGCAGTTTAGTGATTTAGGAGCTGTGAAAATGGAAATGAGGAACAAAGGAGGGAATTTAGAGGCCCAATGGGATTAGGATGTAGTTCTAGTGGTGCAGCTTCTGCTTAGCAGGCATAAGGCTTTGGATTCCACTTTCAGCACTAGGGGGAAAAAAACAAAACAAAAAAAAAAAAAACAAAGGAAACTTCACTGTGGATTCTGAAGCATTGATGTGATTCAAAACTGGCCTTGTGCCGGGCAGTGGTGACACACGTCTTTAATCCCAGCACTCAGGAGGCAGAGAGGCAGGCGGATGTCTGTGAGTTCCAGGCCAGCCTGGTCTACAGAACTAGTTCCAGGATGGGCTCCAAAGCCACAGAGAAACCCTTTCTCGAAAAAACAAAACAAAACCAAACAAACAAAAAGAAGCGTTGTTAAGAAAGAGGGTGGAGGGCTGGCAGGATGGTTTTTAGCAGGTAAAGGCACTTGTTGCCAAGCATGACAGTCTGGAGAAAACTGACTCCCATACATTGTGCTCTGACCTCTATACATGTTCTGTCTTATGTGTGTGAAAATCATAGGATCCAGAGAACACAGAGACTGTGTCTTTTAACAAGGGCTTACATTTGGCAGCTATGCTAAGGATCCAACCCAGTACCTTGCAAATGCTAAGCCCAAACTCTTCAGTGAACTTCACCCCCAGCTCCTAACAGATATTTCACGAGAATAAGGAGTAAAGATAGTATTTTAACATGGAGATGTTTAAAAAATGCGCTGCTTGTTACACTGCTGAAGGAAGGCATTCTTTTTGCTAAGTTGAACTGGTTTGCCATATATAGGCTTCGAAAATTCAAGTGTAGGGGATTTGACACAGCATAGATAAGCGGCCCTAGAGAAAGCACCAGGTATTGTCAAATTTATTTCAAGTGTGATGATCTGGATAATACATTGTTTTAGTCTTTTTTTTTTTTTTTTGAGACAGGGTTTCTCTGTGTAACTTTGACTGTCCTGGAGCTCACTTGTAGACCAGACTGTCCTCAAACTCACAAAGATCAGCCTGCCTCTGACTCTGGAGGGCTGAGATTAAAGGTGTGTGCCACCACTGTCTGGCTGTTTTAGTCTACGTTTTACTCTAGACTACTTTTCCAGCAGTTTTTGTGTTCCAGTCTATTAAACATTCTTTCTGGGGTATACATTTCGTGATCCTAAGGTTAGGAAAATAGAATCTTTGTTAATCCTTGGGACAGTAATTATGCTTTTGTTAGTGCTCATTCAGCTAAAAATGAGTTTGACAATCCAGTAGTTTAATGTCCCTAGTGACTCTGAGGTATTCAGTACCTCTGGTTGGATGGTGGAATGCTTTTTCCATTTAGTGCTGTCTGGCCAAGAGACACGATTATTCATACAGGTTCTGAGTAGAAAAACTGAGCTGGCAGGATGGGTCAGTGGGTGAAAATGCTTGCTGGGCAAGCCTGACAACTTGGACTTCATATCTGGAAGTCAAGATAGAACCAACACTTGAAAGCTGTCTAATCTCCACCCGTCTTTCTCTCTTTCTTACACACACACACACACACACACACACACACACACACACACACACACACCTTCCTACTTTAAAGAGTAAGAAAGCTAAAAATGCTTAACTTGTGAAGCAGAGAAAATAAAGTTTTAAAATCCAAGAAAAATAAATGAAATTTGGCTCATCTTAAGGAAACATTGTTTTATAAGTAGAATACACTTGGTAGGGTAAATATTGAAACTCCATCTAGTACCTTAAAATTATCTTTCATGTAGCTGAAGATTTTAAAAGCAGTCTATATAAACTCGAATCAGTTGTAATAAATGCTGGATTGAAGCCAGTAGTAAAAATGGAGTACAAATGATA